ATCGGTGGTGTGTGAAACACAAGCACTTTACACTGTCTTACACTAATTTATTTATCAATTTAGATAGAATTTTCTAAGTAGTCTTGATTTTGTCTTAAATTTGATAGGTTGCTGGTTCGATTTTACAGTAGATTCTGGTATGAGATGCCATTTGTAATTGGACTATCAATTAACGGTGATTTTTTACAAAATGGAAACATTAGATATTAAAAAACCAGTTTTTAGACCTTCACAAAAAGCATAAAATGCGAATTGCTCAAGAAAACCCACAAAAAATAAAACTGAACTATTTACAAATATTTGGAAATTTTAAAACTCCATTTGGTTTACTATGTCATTATATAAACTGGCATTTGTTATTAGTGTGGTAAAAAAGTTGTTAAGGAAAAGCATTTTGTGATTAAATAGTTTCATTTTGTATTTGTAACAGAGATAACCCATGGCAATTAGGTATATATTTATTTATTTATGCCTACGGCAAGCATCCAATCGACACTTGTACAACAAAATGCAAGCTTGTTTACACACTTAAAACTTATAAAAAAATAAAGATTACAAATTACAATGCATATATATTTCAAATACCGGTTTTGCTCTTATGAAGCTGCTTAGCTTTTTTTAGTTACGTAAACTTCACACTTTTATAAATATACAAAAATTGTGGTAAGTGTAAAGATTGAACTCTCCAAGCGTGCTTCTAGTAGAAGAATTCGTTACTTTAATTTGTGAAAACTCCTAGTATTAGCCTACAATTTATGAAACGAATCGTTTGTATTTTCTATTAGTAATAGGAACTCCTTTCATTAACTTATCACTTAGTTCACTAAATATCGTGTAAAGTTTGTTTCACTCATATCTGTACAGTGTAAAAAAACACCAATGGATTTTATCTAAGTGATAATGCCACAACCCCTAGGTTTAGCTTGAAGTAATGTAAAAACAATACCGGGCTCGTACCTAGCGTCCTAGAGCAAAAAAATGATACAAATATAATTCGAGAATCTTAAACATTTTAATCTTTTCGCAGCCATGCGGAATGATTAATAACTAACTCATAAAAAAGTACATAACTGACCGGGTAGATCAGTCCTAGCTTGATATTTATTAATGAACAGGTTTATTCTAATTCTGAGCACGTCGATATTCTTTGTGTGAAATTTCGCCTGTAAGTAATTTGGTCAAGTGGTTTTATGTTATTGAAATCCTATTTTTTTTTTTTTTTATTAATTAATAAATCAAAGATTTGTTATTGACTTGGATCTATGATAGGTCAGTAAAATACGATAAGACATTTTCCATTTCTAGATTAAATGTTGGGAGTACTAAAACCACTGGCATCTATTGAATTATTTAGTCTGGCTAGTCAATAATCATAAAGTTTTTGCATTTTTCCAAATTATTCTCCAGTGCAAATAATTGTCATTGTGTACTACCTTTGACTATTAATACATAGTCGATGGTACTACACAAGTTACAACAGAATTTCAGTTACTTCAGCTCCTTCCCAAAACAGTCCTTTTTATTTTTACAAAACTTCGTCCTTAACTTCTCAAACGATCCATTGAAATGTTTGTTTTGTAGAGATTGTTGTCTGAAGAGTCAACACGTCAACGATGACGAGTGTTAGCTTTGAAACTTGAACACTCGATTTACAAAATTGATAAACTTTTCAGGGTTTTCTCTGTTTTTCTCTCGAAATGCCTAATTTTAATAATTTAGAATTTATTTCAAAGTTAACACCAAAAAACATCAAGTATGTTATCGTGATCCAATACATTTACGATATGTTTAGCACAGGTACAACACAATCACCAAGAGTGTTTTAATATAGTACTAGAGGACCCATGCTGCTCTGCAGCGTTAAAATAAATATAATATCCGAGAAATAATCAAATTTATGATTTTTGATTGAGTAATACAGTATCTTGAGCTTAACTGATTAAACGATTAATTTACTGAGCCTATAATTTACTGATTATTTTGAGTCTAAAACATATAGAAAAACATGAAAAATACTAGAGCTGTAGATTTTTAATAATAGTAAAACCTTATGAAAAATAATCTTTCTGTTGGTTGTTCAACTTGCGTTTACTTGAAACTCATCCGATTTGAATAACTAATAGCTTAAATGAAAGCCAGTATTTCACTAAAGGTTCTTAGATTAAAATATATAGGATTATAAAATTATAACTGGTGAAGGTACAAATTGAAGTAAGAATTAGAAAATAAACCAAATTATGTGTTTTGGTAATACAGTAGGTAAATATTTGCCGATGCTTTATGTGAAAACTTGGCGCGCATGCCTTCAATTTGATACCTCAATCATAAAAATTGGTCGGGTAGAAGAACCAAACGAACTTGGCAAAGAGAAACCAAATTTAACTCCTATAAGAAATACATGGGGAGCAAATTTGGTTTACGTATAAGCCGAGTGGGATTATAGATAAATGTATGCCGATGCTTGATGGCAAATCTGTACGTGCATACCTTCAATTCGAGACCTCAATCATGAAAATCGGTCGGGTAGAAGAGCCAAAAGAATTCGAGAAAGAAAAACGATTTTTTTTATGTATAAGATTACTGTATTAATTTCAACCCTACAAATCACTGTTAACTACTTAATTGGTACTAAGTTAAAAAAAACACCGTTATAAAATCTGTATGAAAATGTGATTATTCTGCAAACCTTCCCGTAGATACAACTTTAATAATAGGTAGGAGATTAACAAAAGGTTTTGAATTTACAATCAAAGTTTGGCTCATAGTTACTTGAGCCATGGCTACTTCTCACGAAGGTATTAAGTGAATATTATTTTCCCAAAGTTTCTTTTCAATCCCTATTTACAACGTGAACTTTCAAAGACCTCCTTACCTTATCCGTATTTTTTGTAATAATCTTTCTAAGAAAACGACTTATGTATTTTTAAATTTCATTTATTAATGGGACCCATGTCCCAGATGTGTATACTTGTATTAATTATGGTTACAATTGTAAAACACTTTATTTAAATATGTTTATAGTACTTGCAAACCAGTAATATATTTAGTCGAAGATTTTACACTATGAGCGAGTAGTAATTTAAACATTCATGTAGGCTAGGTCATCATTAAATAGTTAAGCAGCCTGAAACAGTTTGTGCCATAAAAAGCACACAAGTCCAGCCCTTAGTGGTGCAAGTGTTGGGGATTTCACATAGTTTAATATTGATAGCCCAAGTGATTTTTTTTATTTGTCGTGACAGCAAAAGTGTGTGTAGGGCTTTTACGTTCAAATGTGATTAGTGAGGAATGAAACATTGCCACTAGTTTTTCGGTATACATAATAAAACTATAGCACTTTCCAATATATATATATATTTGTTTTATATTCGCACAACTTAACTTAAAATCTCCTCTGAACATTTAACTTCACTTCATATCCCGAAATAAATATTGTAAAGCGTAAACAACTAAAGCTTTGCCACGGATTAACCCTCACTTATGCACCTACATACGCGGACATGGCCCACTTATAAAACATTTCTCTATTCCGAGGTTTACAATTGGCCTAATTGATAATTCCAGTAATCCAGGCTTACGGTTCAGCATGGGGGTATACGACTGGGATATCATGTCTGTTTCAATATTGCAACCCTTGCTGACGTCATGGCCCCCCACCCTTCGGAGGGGGGGGGTTTGCCCAAAGCGGCTCTGTTGAAAAATAAATTAATTGCATTGCACCCCCGTTTCTGTCTGCTTTATTAACTAATCTGTAACGGTGTTCACAGCAGATAGCAATGGCCTGTACCAAAAGTTTCTTTTGAATTATGTTGCAGCTTCGTAGTATCAATGTATTATTATTTTCGTAAATAGTAAGATATGTAGTTAAATTGCTCTGTTAACATTTAATTAGTTGCGTTGCATATTCGTTTCTTTTTGCTTCATCAACGTACGGTATTTACCATTAGAGCCATGATCTGTATGAAATTTTTCTTTTGAACTATATTTTAGATTTTTATAATCGATTACCTATAACCTTCTTAAATTAGTTGAAACTGATGGCCTTAGTTTTCAGGAGTGAGCTAAAAACGTTATATATCCATTAATGCAATAGTATATCCTTGGAACATGGTGTGTATGTCTTCTACATTTGTTCCCATCTTTTGTTCTGAGCCGTATATTGTTAAGGCTGCTTATACAAACACGACCTACTTAAAGTTGACGTGCATTTTAGATTTAATATTACAAACGGACTCCTAACATTGCTCTACCTGTCTACCTAATAAAACGACGTGATTCAACTTTAATATTCGAATTTTAATACTTTTTTAGAACGTGTACTTGATGCTAGTTTTTCTAAAGGTTGAATTCAAGCACGTAGCAACGAAATCCATCCTAAGATTACCGATGAATTATTGATCGAATCTGTGCTCCAACTCTAATTAAGCTCTGGTTATACTTCTCAAGATTCTAATATATCATGGTTAAAATCTAAGGCTTACCTTACGATCTAATTTATTTTGTAGTGGAGACCTAGGTTTCTACTTCGAAACGTTATCGTCAGTCCTTTTTTTCTCATAGGCTAGATAAACTTTTAGTTTTCTATGTCTAATATAACCGACAGTTTCAACCTTCATGGCAGATTTGGCTATTTTTAAATTGAGGAGACCTTTCACAGTTTGATATTTTATTGCGGACAGTTTTTATAAGTTTTCTATATCTGTTATCTATACGTGAAAGCTGTCTTAATTTCCCATTAATTGGACTAGTCTTGTCTATGCATTCACTGCTATTTCAACATAGTAAATCCAATTAAATAGAACTTCATAGTGTTTGTTTTAAACCCCCTCTGTCTAAATGGTCTACCTACTTGGTGTTCCGATATTCCAATTCTCCTATTCCTGACTCTACTAGGCACTAGTATCCCACTTGTTCTAGTTTATAGATTTAGTCCAACAGGAGAAGAAATGGTCTCATATGCACACAGACTGTGTTCTGAAAATGCATTCCCCTTGTTCCAGATTCTACTGGGACCTGTGCATGTTGCTACTCCTTGTGGCCAATCTTATCATCTTGCCAGTCGCCATCTCCTTCTTCAACGACGACCTCAGCACAAGATGGATCGCCTTTAATTGCCTCTCGGACACAATCTTCTTGATCGACATTGTAGTCAACTTTAGGACAGGTATGTTTATATACCTTAGCAAAAGTTAAGTAACATTCTTGTGGATGGTTTCTAAAGGCGTAGAGTCGTAAAATTGGTATGAAAAAGTATTCTTCATTCTTCCAGAATTTCGAATCCCTTGTTTCACAGTCTCATTCCAAAACACAAACTATTTAACAATCTAAAACATAATACACCTTACGTTATCGCTACGACAGATTTTAGTGCTTTTCCAAAAGAGTTAAAATACTTAGGTACATCTAACCACTTCAAAAGAAATCAGACTTTTTGGCAGAACGTTTCACTCTATACCTGCCTACAACATACATTGTTTCTAGCATTTTAGTTACATTTTGTTTTTTACGCAACATAATATATTATTGATTATCCACTTTTACAAAGATGTGCCGGTATACGGTACGGTACAAAATGTACCGGTATTTGAAAATCGATGGGTTCCGTGAAAAAGGTAAAGATCCGCTGTTTCAAATATGAAATAAGAGTACTTTTATAACAGGCAAAATTCAAATTGAGGATGGCTTGAGCTATTTTTGAGACACTTTTGTTTTAATGCAAGTATACAGAGGCTTAGAAATGACAGGGCTTCAAAAAAGTTTAGATCCCTAAATAGTAAGTTTTTCCCACACAAAGAAGCTGAACTGAATTTAAAACCACACTGCACTGAGGACTTTCCACATAAAAAATAGGCCGGGTGAGACTGATGAGATCGAAGATAGGGTTGTAATTGCCCATAAATCTGCCTTGCCACGCAATGCCTCCCTGCATACTGATACCATTGACTTTGGATAGGTACTGAAGGAGACACCCGAGCTAAATGTACCAGATGCAGCCAGACCATGGATAAGATGATGGACTAGGTTTTACAGCCAAAAATATGCAATAGTTGGGTGAAGTTCACAGAACTTTTTCCGTTATTGGAAGTTCTTTTTTTTTAAATTTATGAGGTCATAAATTATGGGATGTTTTTCTTCCCCTTTAAATTTACGAAGAAGGAAAATTTATGATGTAAGAAAGATAACAAACAACACCTTTCTATTAGTGTTGTGCTATTTACGTTGATATTTTCATCTCAAGAGTTTTTGAAAGAGAATTACACTGTTATGAGTATTAATTCTCTCACATAAGTGTAAAAATTACACCCTTTACACGTTATGAGTGTTTTTACACAAAACTGCTAGGCATTAAAATCTGTCGGTGTACTTTACAAAACTTTTTTATCTTTGTATTGGTTAATTAATTAATCACAAACTAGGATTGTATCGGAAACAAACTTATAAAATAATTAGACTATTATAGAGTTGGGATTGGATATTTCGTAAATGTGCTCCACAATAGTTAACCAACCACAAATGTTTATGTGGTGGAAGAGAAGAGCAAGTTTTAAGCAGATTGTGCAACCAATCCTCTTAACAATGAATGTGTATTCCCACCCCACTTTAAAACAAAATTTCCCTTTTCATACAAATAATATTCAACGTTTCTCTCGTCGTATATTTCATTCATACAATCACTGCATATACAATCTTGTTAAATATTCCAGGTTTTAAGGATAGAAAAATGTTATGGGTCATTGAAGTTGTACTAAACAAGTTTTTAATCTTTGATAAGCGTGAAAAGATTTTATAGTTTGTAAAAACATGTTCTTAACAAATTATCCACTATAGCTCAGGAATATACAGAGGTAACATCTCTTCATACTGGCTCAAAGCTAGGGTCTTTAGATAAAACGAGAGTCTACACTTAATGTTTCACAAAATTACCAATGATTAGCCATGAATTCCTCCTGGCAATCTTTTTTGTCCTTCACCTTAAGGAATAGTGTTCCAATTAGAGAGAGAGAATACCTTTGAAACGTTTTTTTACCCTCTACGCTTCATATGTGTGATTTGATCATTTTCCATCTTACGCAGTGAATGAAACAACATGTTCTTTATTCACCTAAAATTAATTGTCAAGTACTATCTCAAATTCCCACCCTAATTGGAACTCATTGCTAATTTTTTCAGGTTCTGTATCCCATAACTCCAACTAGATAACTTTGTAAGGTACTATTATCAACAATTTATATGGTCGTGTTGTTTGAGCTAAATAATGATGACTTGTGGTGTTAGAAATTAATTGGAAGTATGGACGTTAGGGAGCACTAATGTTATGGTTTGCATCAATGGCCGAAAGTGAGGTTTTTCTAGTGTCTAGAGAGTTTTTAACGATTTTATATATTTTCCTCATAATAGAACTCGTGATATTAACTTTAAAAATTAGAATCCACAAATAAACAACAAAATTATAATACACCGAACCGATGCTATAGACATCATTTATACCACTATATTCTATCATCTTATAATCTACTTAAGAATGTTTAAATGTTTACATTTTTTATTCTTCATTGTATTCAAAGAAGAATAACGTAGAACGAGTGAACCTCGATCCAAAGTTTATCACAAAGAATTGTCTAAATAAATTGTTTGCCCTGTATCAGATCAAAACGTGTTCCATATATTTAAGGAACCATCTAGCAATAAAACACAGTCAAAGTAACACTTGATCTTTTGATTGCTAAGATTTGCCTTTCCGGTTATTTTCAATTGTTTTTCTTCTTTTTCAGGGATCATGCAGCAAGACAACGCAGAACAAGTGATCCTTGATCCTAAGTTGATCGCCAAGAACTATCTAAAGACCTGGTTCTTCTTGGATCTGATCAGTTCGATCCCGCTGGACTACATCTTCCTCATATTCAACCAGGTCAGTGTGAGTGACATTTTCATGACTATAAGCATCCTAACGTCACTTCTTCACTCTCTCTCTGTCATGCACCGCTCACCAGACTGTTGGCTCGCTTGCGCGCATGACGCTCGATGGCATGCATCCGCTTCAAGAGGAACACAGCTAATACTTGTTACTCGCTAACTAACTAAGCTATCAATGATGTTTAGTGGGGAACATATCATCAAGATGTATGAATATATTATAGATATGTTCTGATGATGTGTTATACATATGTTTTGACGTTAGCTTGACGTATCCAAACGTTCTGGGAGTAAAGAGAAAGTGATTTATTGTTTCAGATGCAATTAAACGTTTCAGCAATTTTTATTTGAGTTCTTTTAGAAAAGTTGTAATATACAAGTTTTTACTTAACGCGTCGATTTGTACATTTTTATGTAATCATCGTTTTATTGAAAACAAAAAACTCTTACATTGTTTCTAAACGTTTTTAGCGTTCAATGATTGGGCAGTGAAAATGTTGTATGTAGAGTTAAGGTTTACTTTAGTTAAAAACGAGGATATATAACCTGTGTATTGTTTAGTTTTACATCGAATTAGTTCAGTTTCATACAAACCACAATATATGTATTCGCCATTCGGTACGTTTCATTTTTGTTTTTTAAGTCTAAAAGGAGATATCATACTTAGATATTACTTACGTTATATTGATAACGTATTTTAAAGATTTACTGTGCCAAATTAATTATTGATTGGAAGTTTCTGGAATTCTTTATCAACATTAATTTTAATAGTTTAAAGTCCCAAAGGCCAAGGCTTATGGATGCAAGACTGTATTGAATTTCAATGGGAAACAAAAATCTAAACGTTCTGCAAATGCATACAAAACTATTCAATTTCGTTGTGTTATTTTTTACAATGGCTAAAGTTTACAAAAAATTCGGTATCTTAGATTTACAAGATAAATACTTTTTTTACTGCCAAGTTGCTAGCTTTTACCATTTTTAGTAACATGTGAAAGTTAAAATTTTAGTGCTGACTTTTATTAAGTTCAAACTAAAGAACTCAAATAAAGAACTTTTGCCATTTTAAGTAACCTGTAAAAGTTAAAATTTTAGTGCTGATTTTTATTACAGTAAGTTCAAACTTAATAAAATTTAATTATTATTTTAAGTTGTTTTAGCGAATTTCCCATATAGGGAATAAGCTATTTTCTTTTACTTTCGCTTATTTTATGTATGTTTTTTATGTCAACTGGCACTTTGACATTTCACCAAACTTTAATTAACTTGCATGGCTTTTTAATATTGAAATTTCAACTACCTTCGACCAAATAAAACCTTTTTAAACTTTGTATTCTTCAATTTTCTGCTGCTAAAATTCTAAAAGCTTGAGCTAGCGTAAGCAGAGCTTGAATAGCATGGATTAGCTTAACCTTGAGTAGAATCTGCTTCTTTGTCACAAATATAAACAACAATGCCACTATTGCAATTTTATGTCGAAAATTTTTACATACCAAACATAAATAATCACTATAAATTTAATTCGTTTTGGTAAACTTTTTGACAGTAGAGTACACAATTGCGCCGATAAAATTGTTTCAGTCTGCAAAGTAAAGCGAAATTGTATATGTTTAAGTAAAACTGTTACTTTCTATTTATGACAATAGAATGCCATACGTTGTATTTATTATTAAAGATTTACAATATCCCAACAATGTTACAAATGAATTATGACGTTAGAATTTCAAACGGTCTCATATTATTCAAAAATAATTTTAAACTAAATTTGTTAGCCTAAATGAATGTATTATGAACTTATATTAAACTTATTATTGTTTTTTTTTATATTTTTTATAAAAGACTAAAAAATGTAACGAGCAAAATCCTCATATGCCTAACATACTCGTAAAGAATAATTATGCTTTGTTATCCTTTTTCCCATAAATATTTCAAATATTTGCCGTACATTCCAGTACTTAAATGTCCTGCTTTTCCTTTGTGCTTATGTGTTTGCTAGTTTTTGTTGTTTTTTAATATACAAAATACTCAGATATAAAATTTGGGATTAATTTAATCCGATAAATGTAAATAAGGAACCAATTATTTATGTAAGATTTCGTTTTAAAAACATTTAGTGGTATTATTTGATAGAAGAAACTTACTTTAACATTTAATTTTAATTTTACACTCTTTGAAATACATTGCTCCCAAAATTAAATTTTACAATATTTGTCGTTAAAATATTTTCGTAGAAATTCTTCCGAATTGTGTCTCCTAAGAATGTAAAATTACAAAATCTGTATTTTAGAATCGTTGTACCAGTAAGTATAAACAGCTATTCAAAGATTTTGATAGTAAAGACGGTACTTTTACTACATTATTTTACCACGTTTTGTTTATACATTATTGGTGTGTGTATTAAATACAAGTGAGGTACTTTCAATGTCCACACTTGCAATTCAGTGCAATAAAGTATACATAACAAACTATATTTGAAGTCAAGAGTACTACTTTTAGTTTTCCTATTATTGTGTTTTGTATACTTTAGATATTAGAGCGATTAACAAAATTGAAACAATAATTAACTTTTATCACATATATTTGTATAGGTTTACATAGTATCGTCCTAAGTTAACGTGATGTTGCTACTACTATAACTACGTCAGGTTAGAGTTACTAGAAGTTAAGTTCATTATGATCATTTGAGGTGTGTGTCATTTGTTTTAAAAGTTTACTAAATTATCATATGTATATCTTTCTTAACAACTTTTAAAAGATATTTATCAATTGTACTGGCGTATTGAGTAGTATTAGATTTTAGGTAATTAAAAATGAAATAACTAATATAAATAGACCATTGGCTACTAGATAATGACTGACAATAGAACTACTCAAAATAATATATAATTAAATAGAAACAATCCAACACAGCTCACTTTGTAAATTAAAAGCCAAGACCTTAATACTAAGCTTGAAGTTATTTCTTCTTAGACTATCTTTCACGCTATTTTTAACTATGCATGTTTTTTATTCCTAGGTTAAGGAAAACTGTAAAATAGTATAAGAGAGTACAAGGTACAATTAATTGACGAATCAAAGTCATAGGACAAAGTGACAATTCAGCACTTATATGATGCCTACCATGGCAAATGCACTTATTTACCAAATCACACTTTTTAGAGTAGTGCACAATAGCTATAATTGCCTGATGGTAGATTTTTATCTTTGCATTACAATTATTGGAATTTTTGCAATCTTTGCCTGGTCAACTATTGTAGGCTAAGCTTGGATAAAATATACATTATATTTTTAATTTGTTCCAAAATTTAAATGCACATGGATTTACAGATTTGATAAATTTTATATTTGATCAATAAAACAATATTCATGAAACATATATTAACAAAAGTTAAAAGTCACTACAGTAATAAAACTTTACAACAATTTCGCTCTGTGGAAATCATTTGTAGCCTTCAAACTGGGTTTATTCATTCATCCAGAAAACCGTTCCTTATACGTTTTCTTAGGAATTTTCTGTAAAAATAATCATTTGGGTAGATTAATTTATAAATCGTTAAAAGCTGACACCAATAAACCCTGATTTTTCCAATGTAGGTTCTACGGTTCTAAGGTCACTTTTAGTTTTATCACTATTAATGAGGGTTTAAAAAATTCTACATTTTGCTGTACAAACTCTTCTCAGTTTGGTAAATAGTTTATATAAGAATGTTTGTGTTTTCTTTGGCACACTCTAACTGTGGCTCAATTAAAAATTAAACTAAGATTTTTCATCCAAATCCACGGTAGTTCACCACAGAAATAGAATGCCAAGGGTTTAAGGGGAGCAGTGCGTGAAAATGCTCATATTGTGTATTTTGATATCATCAATATTGTGTATATCTTTTGCTGATTAAGAAAATATATGACACTTTATAGTTTGGATATTTTCTTACATAAGAAGGAATCTTTAATCCTCCATTAAGATAAATTAAGGAAACTACCCATTTTCCCGGGTTTTCCTGATTTACTAAACTTGTAATAGTCTTATCTTCAATCAAACTGCATATTTGCATTTAGGATTAAAAAAAAAACTGAACAATTCGAGTACCCATAGTCTAATATTGTAAATACAAATAATTTTCCCGGATTTTTGAAAGAGAGCCCTTCAAGATTCTACTGAGCCTGCCCTTCAAGGGTTCAAATGTGAATATCCGAAAGTTAGTTTTTATAAGTTTAGGTACCATTCTAAAGAAAACTACTTAACTCATCAAGCCCAAATTTTACACAATACTTCCTGTTACCATGGTGAATAGTTTCATGCATTTTTAGAATGTTACCATTCATTTTACCTTAAAAATAAATTATTTATAAAAAAAAAAACACAATTAAAAATTAGTAATTTTTATTTAATTTTATATTTTAAAAACTAGACCTAATTTCTTGTTTATATAGCATGAAATCATAGAAAACAATCTAAGGAATGAATATAAAAAAAATTAAGTCAATATCTCTAACGGTTTTAAAAATAAATGTACCTATCTAACCACGTGTTTTCCCATAAGAATAACATGGGAGTGGTATTCGCGCACTGCCCTTAACTGAAATATAAACATAGCCTTGACACTGCACTTGATGGTAATTCGAAGTTGTTAGGCCTACATCCAACAATGGAAGGTCAAGTTAAATAACAGCTGTTTATGTCAGCCAGTTTTAACTGGTTCAAGTTGTCGTGAAGCCTAATCACAACTATTATTAAACGTGCTGCATGAATGCCGTAACGATAATGAGAAAAGTCAGTAGCTTTTTGGTGGTTCGAAACTGGAAACAGCTGATCTTAGTAACTAAGCTACACAGATGCTAAGCTTAAACTGTTACAATCAAAAATCAGGAACAATATGTATTAAATTAAATACTTAGTTACAGCTTTCACTCTCAATCCAAGTGTAAATTTAAACTATTTTCAGGAATAACATTAACTCGTTTGATACTGTTGATTGAGGATTTTTATTGAGAAATCTATTTTTTACCAAGCCAAACCCAAAGAACGACTATGACTGTTAACTATGGCATCAACGTTAAAATTTTCAAATATTGGGGACAATATAATTTTGACAGTTATTCACTTTGTGAATTGCCAACTCCTCTATTTTCTATTTGATTGAAAATGGCTACAGCTGGTCGTAATGAATGAGATTCTTCCGGTGTCCAGAAGTGAATAATACAACATTTTATTGAACGAATTAATAAAGAAACCAGTAAAAAGGCTACATATGGTTTGTTCCACTCTTTTAAGTACCTTGTGCTCATTTTAGCTTTGTTATTACATTATATTCAGGTGTTTGAATATTGTTATCAAGTTTAATAAACTTTCAAATTAAGTTTCAGGTTTCTGCAACGGCAAAGCAAGGCCTTCGTACTTTGATAGTTCAATTGTCTTTACAGTTTCACTACGGTTGTTAACATTATTGTTTTTCTTGGTTAAGCTTTACTGATAACGCATAGGATAAGCAAAGTAGTTATAAACTAATTATTTTGTTTTATGTTATAAGCACATCAGGATTTTAAATTTTAGTTTTGTACTTTTAGTGGAACAAGATTTTGGTTGAAATTTTTATCAACGTTGAGGAACCAATAATAATTGGTCTTCAAATTGTTTGAGTTATAATCTATGTATATAGATGTTTAAAAAAATTCAAATATTATTATAAATATTGGTATCTAGGCTGACCTTAAGCCCTTGAAGTTACGCCTAACATTTTATAACAGGCAATGTTCTTTTAATAAATATGTGTTTGGGCTTTGCAGTTTGTAGGCTTTATAAGTATTTTGAGTATTTTTGGAATACGCCGAATGCAGGCCCCGTTTGGTTAATGTGTGTGTGGTTATTGTTTTATTCTTTATCTGTTGTCTGATGTGTTTTTTAGATCAAAAACTTAATGTTTTAAATGTTTGACAAACCTAAGCGTTGAAATGTTGGGTTGGGCGTTGGGATTGTAGCGAAATGTCTCTTTTTGGTTTTGTTTGGACGGTATTTGATTGGAGACTTTGAGCATCTGGCCTATTTAGAGTGAATTGTATTTGTAGAGTATATAAAACATATCAAATACTTTCAAACCAAAGATTTTATATACAATTCAAAATCGAAGCAACAATTTGGTCATGTAGACTGGATGCCTTTCACCTTGAAGAGTCTTAATATATATTTCTCCAAAATATATATATTATAAGTTACAGATACGGGCATTTTCTGCAGCCAAACTAGTTATAAATATATATAGTCCTAAAATATGAAGGCATGCTTTTGGTTTATCATTTATCTTCAAAGAATGAACCATACACAAAATAGCTTGAGCCATGGTCTGACCTGGTAAAGTGGAACGAATACATTATTCACATAACATGCATTATATCACCCTAATATAGCAGCTTAAATTCCTGGTATAAATACAGTGCGCTGTCATTTTCAATGATAATATATTTTTTCTTTAACAAACTTTACAATCCAATAGAACTGTTTATTTAAAAATTAATTGTGGATTGTTCTGTGGTATAACTGTTTTAGATTTATTACTTCTTAAAGAGTGAATTGTCTTAAAATGTTTCCAAGTTGAGAAAAACATATAGTTGAAGTCAGAACATTCAATCCCAAACATAGATTAAATGCTCATAAAAGAGGCTTCAAAGTTAACAATAGGAATCCGACTAGCAACTTCTAAGGTCAATGGTAATATACTTTTGTAAGTCATCATAAATTTATTATGTTTTAATTAAAAAACACTGAAAAAACCATGCCTCAAGTGTTTTTGTCTATATTTAATTTGTAGTCGTGTAAGCTGAGAACAAATATTTGGCAGTTCCAAAAAAGTATATTTTGTGATACACTGAACAAAAATTTAAATACAACTTTTGCAAGTACAGTGTTGAATTAAGAATTTAATATGCAACAGAGGATGATCCCCCTTTTTGTACACAATGAGAACTGTCAGTGACAAAGAACTGCTTCTTTTCCCCAATCTCCATTATCTTGATCTTTGTTCCTTATAATGAATGAGGAATGGGATCAAGCTCCATTTGCTCCAGAAGTATTTTCATTTCACATCTGTTTCATCACTCCAAAAGTGAAATGACTCGCTTCTTTTGTTTCAAATTGAGAATTTCAGATATTTTTCCTAAAAATACAAACAGCTGATTACTAATTAGGAACAGAATGTTCCCCACATACACTTGACATGTAAAAATGAGTTTGTGACACTTTTAGATACTAAAGTCATTTAACATTAAAATGAATCGCTTCTTTTGTTTCATAAGAATTTTAGATACATTTTGTCTAAAAATACAAACAACTGATTACAATTATTAACAGAATTTTACCACATATACTTGTCATGTGTGGAAATGCGTTCATGACACTTTTAGATACATTTAAAATCATTATTATTTTTAAAAAGCCTTTTGAAAACTATTAACAGTTATTTAATCATCAACAATTAATAGTCATTGCAAAAGGTTTTAAAATATATCAAACAACAACATATGTCAAACAATATAACAATATGTAAAACAACATAACAATATGTCAAACAAAATTTGTCAATAACATTTATTCTGATTTGTTTGCCGACTCTTGTATAATTAAATGGAAAATTGTCTTTTTTATTAGGAACATATATACTACAGGGTGATCAACTCAAGGAGGCCACCATTGCGATATCGGAAACGGTAAGAATTAGAGAAAACTTTAAATGGGGGACATTCCTTTATATTTTGTGGCAGTTAAAATACCATTTTATTTTTTTGAAATTCAGCCGCCATTTTCCAAAATGACGGCCAACTTTGATATTTCTTATGGAACACTCTATATTTTATCATGTTTTCGGATGGAACATGCAATTTAAAAACTTTTTATTCTTGACATTTTTCGATAAACCCACTCGTTTAGGAGTTACAGCCTATGGAAAAATGACTTCCGGTGTACATTTTACATCATGTAGCTCCTAAACAAGTAGGTTTATAGTGAAAATGCGAAGAGTAAATAAGTCAAATAAGTCTTAAAATTGCCGCCACATTCCATAGACCATCAAATTCGTTAAAAATATTAATTCTATTGTTTCAAAAATGGTGGCCAGCTTGAAAAGTGGAAAACTGTGTATTTTAGTTATGTAATGTGGATGCAATATTAAGACTTATTTGACTTACTCTTCGCATTTTCGCTATAAACCTACTTGTTTATGAGCTACATGATGTAAAATGTACACCGGAAGTCATTTTTCCATAGGCTGTAAACTCCTAAACGAGTGGGGTTTATCGAAAAAATGTCAAGAATAAAAAAGTTTTTAAATTGCATGTTCTATCCGAAAACATGATAAAATATAGGGTGTTCCATAAGAAATATCAAAGTTCTCCGCCATTTTGGAAAATGAAGGCTGAATTTCAAAAAAATAAAATGATATTTTTAACTGCCACAAAATATAAAGGAATGTCCCCCATTTAAAGTTTTCTCTAATTCTTACCGTTTCTGATATCCAATGGTGGCCTCCTTGAGTTGATCACCCTGTATATTGAAAAAGTATAACATTTCTGATGTACCAAAAGGAAATGCTGCATGTTTCCTCTATGTAACAAAGTAAACTGTTGAAATGTTGTTCTCAGTTTTAGGCAACATTCATGTTACTTATAAATTTGTAATATTGTACTATCTGTACCTTGTGTTAAATTATGTTTGAGGTTGGTATAAGACGAAGAGTTTAATTTCAAGATAGCTTATAACATGCTCAAGGTAAGTATAATCGTATTCGTAGAACAGAAATTTAAATGACACTTTTGGGCTATTGTATGCAATTCTATCTATAGTCTATGGCAATATTTAATATTTTGATAATATAGTTCACTATATTTTATTTTTTATTTGTATAAGCTACGGATTTTAAAACCTACTAAGGATTTAATAAGTATAAACTTTGGGGTTCACTATCAGGTTTATACTGATAAACTTTTAAGTTTGAACTTTTAAGTTTTGAAAACTTTTAAGTTTTCAAGGTCAAAAGTTTCTAAAAACTTCATTAGTTTTGTTAAACAATGATATAATATGTAAATTTAATTTACAATTAGTTTTCCAGCAACCATATATTTAAAGTTTACTGTGACTTGTACAATGTGACACAGGGGCTTTATTCTACCAATGTCTGTGTTGTATTTGGAAAAACATTTAATTTTGACATTGTTTTCATATCACCTTATTCATATACCGATTGTTTTGTTCAATTTAGTCAATTTTGTTTTACAATCTTGAATTCAGGTTTTTCAAATATTTCGTGATCGTATATTAATATTAACTTTAGTCCTACTGAATTCGGTCCATGCATGATGTGGTGCAAAACATTGTCTCAAAAGAATTGTTGTTGTTGTTGTTGTTTTTTTTTTGGTTTTTTTTTGTATAACAGAAATATTCCAAAACTATACAAAAACCACAACTCTTCATAGGACAACTTTTGTACTTAATTCATGTTAATGGAGTGCAATAGTTGTATCAGACCTTTAACCAGGACAAGCTTATAAGACCTTTAAATAACAGATTAGATTTTGAATTTGTAGTGGATCACCTATAATATTTTATTTTAAAACTTACCTACGCCATTGGGTGCTAGATGCTTAGGCCTACTTTTTATATTAATTGATAAATGTTAATTGATAAATGTTGTTTGTTTTCTTTTTCTTATTGCCTTTGGACAAGGTCTTTATAATATAAACTATAAGTTCTTCTTTCTCTGTCTTATTAATATTCTTCCTTTGCTTTATGGTTTCTAAGTATAAATTGTACGGATCATTCAATGTCATTGTTTCCTGTTTCAGCTTCCCTCGGAGGTGTTGGATGGTAAACAATTCCCTGAAACCCTTGACTCCCGTGGTAGTTTTACAAGCAGGTTTCATTTGTACTGCGCTTCGCCTGTTTCAGGACTTCAGCGAAAGTTTCCAAATCCTCCACGCTGGAAGAGCTCTAAGGATTCTCCGGCTCGCCAAACTGCTCTCATTGGTCAGGTTGCTCCGTCTCAGTCGACTCGTGAGATACGTCAGCCAATGGGAGGAGGTTTATGTAAGTAAAGTTCCGTAGTTTAAATGTCTCGGCTATGCACCCTTCCGGCTGGTCCCTTAGACCCCTTTATGATTTTTTTACCGTTTACTGGGAATCAAAGGTTGGGCTTTATTTTATATATCAGTAGTTTCATCTTGAAATATCTATGGTAGTGGTTAAGTGGTCCTTGTTTTGGTTGTTTGACCGATGGTTTTGAACTTAGAGGTTATCTTCCATGTTAAATAAAAGGCTTTAAATCATTCGTAAAATTGGGGTTCGGAAGAGTCATGCCCAAACTCAAGAACCAGGACGTGCGTATTTGTGTTTGTTTATGTCAATGGCAATTTTTCACATCCCTAATGATAAAGAGGATTGTTCCCAGATTCATATTATATTTGTAAAAGAACCTTTTGGTGTAAAACTATTGCTTGTCTAACCAAAACCAAGGTAACTTTGACATTAAATCAGAATTTTAACTTTGTTGATCGACAACTACACAAATTGTATTTAGAAACGGATACGATTCTGTAGGTTGAAAAACTAAAACAATATTAAATCCAATCTTTATTTAATTCTGATTTGCACTCTTTAATCAAGCTATTGAGGCCCTGCAGGTCTACTGCTTATAGAATCGGATTTCTGATTCTGGTATGGGTTCAAATCCTGCCACTCACTATAGAGCAGATTTATTATTTCATTTATTTTATACAATACTACAAGATGCTACAACGACAGAGTACAGAATATTCATCAGAAAATAAATAGATTGTAAATTCTTTATTCGACCAACGAACATGCTAGAGTAATCAATTCCAATACTAACACTTGCAGCAATAAACTGTAGGTCCAACAACATTTGAAGAAAGAACAGTTCTCATTCATCCATTTTTTCCGTATTGGAAATAACTTATATGAAATATGAAACTGATATAACATACCTTACGAAATCTATGCAAGCTCCAGAAGAAGTAGCTTTCAGGATCACATTCACAAATAAAACAATTCTGATTTTCTTTGATATAAACCATTTCATTTTTCTCACTACGTAATTTTACCAATTGGTATATAAAATTCAACATTTCAAGATATATTTTGAATTCAAACCTGCAAAGTAAGTGAAATTCTAAATATTTATAAAGTTTTTATTTCAAGCTTGCAAAAGGAGATTTACCATACAAAAGCAAATTTACTTTTAGTAAAAGCAAAATTATTGGATTCAAAAGTATTTAATGATGCCACTACAAAAAAAAATCAAACGGTGTTTGTCAAAAGTGTGTGATAAAACTTTGAAAATGCCCTGTTCTACGAATATTGTGTTAAACAACCAATGAACGGTCTATATAAGTTGTTGTTTAGTTTCTGTAAGGAGAGAGGATTATGAATGTTCAGGGCATTTAGCACCTTCAGGATTTCCGTAATAAATTGGCAAAGAAAAAAATTTTATAGTAGCAGCTAGAGCTACTGTATGTACTTTTAAGCTGAATTCAACGATTAAGTAATATTTTTCTTTAAAATAATTACTGCTTTTGTGGGATCAAGCACTCATAGTTTCCTAGAAAATCAAGCAGATATTTTGTCGATTACTCCCAATTTTCACTCACCCTAAAACGTAAAAAGTCAGTCTCCACTCCCCAAGAATCAATGAGTTGATTTATTCAATTTGAAGTACCATGTTTTTGACAAGCGCACTTCACTGAGCTAAAGATTCAAATATTGTTAATCAAATCGGAAATCATTAACCTGTTTCCATAGAGGTAAATGCAACATGTTCATCTACAATGGGAACACTGTTAACAATAGACCAGCTTTAGATACAATCTCGCAACACGATCTGTAAATGAATGTCGGTTAATCATCGTTTGTTGTCTACATTGAGGTGTTGGTAACAGTAGCTCGAATTGTGTCGATAACATCACATCAACTTTTAGACATTGATTATGAACACTGTTTACAATTAACAATCATTCAGAATTTCTAACAATGTCATAAAGTTTTCAAGTTAAAATTCATTTTTTTACATTTTATTTAGTTGGGGGAAACATTGAATACGAATGCATATCTGATTTACAAATTGTGGTTTTAAAACACTGAACATTGATGTAAAGCGTAGAGTTGCGTTATTGATTACCAGTTTCACGGGTTTTGTTGCAGTTTTGAACTTTAGAGCAATAGAAATGAGTCTACATAGTGTTAAGGGGAGGAAGCTTTAAGACTTAGAGGGCTGTGCTTCTAGCCAGGTGGTCTAGGTTCAAATCTCGCAAATCACCAGTGGCCTTTTTAGCTGTGTGATAAAGTGACGTGTTGGTTGAGGAGTCACCAAACTATAGATCCATCTATTGAGAAAATATAAACAGATAAAAATAAATAGATAAATATAAGACTCGTTTGTCGAAACTTCTTCTGTATGGAGAACCTTCTTAATTTAAAAACGTACTATTATAATTTTTGTTCAAAAGTCAAAGATATATATATTTTTATACACGTTATGTACAAAAAGATTTGTATTACCTAGCAATGTTGTGAGTTTTAACGTAATATAGCAATACATAAATTTATAATTGATTCAAAGAGTTTTCAATACAAAAGGATTCCAATGCCCCTCTACTGTACCTAATTTTGATACCCGTTTCACTCAGCGAAAAGAAGCAGCCTTGAAATCCAATGCTTTAAAATGTCAACTCTTTAGTATCTTTTCTTTTCTTTTGTGAGAAGTGAATAGCTAGGAATGGATAAAAAAGGTACACAACCTTCTTAAGTTGTATCATATTGATAGTAGTCTGGAAAACACCTAAAGGGAAAATGACTTCTTCGATAGTATATTCACATTCATAAGCCTTACCAGCAAAGTGAGAATAGTATTGAGAGCAACCTGATATATAGTTGACTTTATCTTCTCCTTACAAACATGGGAAACTAAAGAAGTTTAATTATGATTGGAGAACCAGTTGACCCTAGTTAGTATTGAGGATACGTCTTAAGTCGATAACTCCCCACAATGAACACCCATGATTAATGTGAATGTAATCATGAATGATTAATGACAGCGAACAACAGAAATGAAGAATGGTTTGTTAGGGAAGTATAGCAACATTTGTGTAGGTGTAGGGTAGGACATTACTTTTATTGTACATACAAAATAACGTTAATTAGATTTATAATCTTAAATTTTAGATTAGGTACCGGTATACAATTGTAAATATTTTACAATTTAGTAAAATATTTTTTGATTATTTATAAATATATGTATATATTTGTTGATTCATTTGTAGTTGAAAATCAATAACTATTAGTAAAATAATCAAGAAATAATGCGTCTGCAAATTGGTAAGAACAAAAGAGATGTTTTTAACTGTGAAGAAGCAAAAATATATCCATGTTCATAAATGAAAATGAATACATTGGCCAAATCCCCCCCCCCCCCTATGTTAACAGGCTGTTTAGACAGTTTTAGACTATTTCATTGATGTATATCGAGTGGGCTATTCTTCACTCTGACAATTCAAGGACAATTAATTGTTGAATAAAAAAGATATATATGTATAGGTTTGGAATACCTACTATAATGATGAGAAGTTAATAATGGAACAGAAACAACTGAAGTAACTGTACGTATATTGACGACATATGAGAAATCCATACATTTCCCTAAGAGACTTTATTTAAGTAATTGTATAAACTCTTTCGACTTCAAACCAGCATCAGAGAAAAAGCTTATGGACTTAAAATCGAAAAAATGTCAGCAGCTTAGGATGAAATAAAGAAACAATTTGGAAAATGTGTATGTGTTTCTACTACTGTATTGCAACCAATATTTCTAACTTTGTTGAGATACTTCAATAGTTTAACCCCTCACATATTTCCCAAAATTTGAGGAGTCTGAACCACTTTCCTTTTACTATTTCCTTTTACTGGCGGACACTTTACTTTAGGAGTCACACTCTACTGGCGTCGACTAAACAAAAAAATTAAAAAACTAGCATCCTTGCCCAATCATTGAATTTTGCAATCAAAATTCTTACAGAATGAAATGTTTGCTCAAAATTGATCATTACCAATTGGCAAATGTTAACTCTTTTTTTCCTAAACTCAAAGGGGATCTTTTCAAATGGTCAACCAAGATTTAATCAGTATCGCATATTTGTATTGGGGTTGTATATTTTTAGTTTAAGAAAGCGGTAGACATGCATTATTGTTTCAAACAGAGCCGCAACCATCAGTTTTACCAATCGGTTTACGTGTTTTTGTTATTTTGTTCCAGGGTGTTTTGCTTAATCCAATTACTGTTTTGCTTATTTTGCTAGTTTGCTGGAGCATGGCTATGTTGAGTGGACCAAAACGCTTCTCCTCACTCTATTAACATCTAATCAACCTTTCTAAATATTTTCTTTTTGTTTTTCAATGTAAATATTTTTACTACCCTTAAAAATGAATATAAACTTTCTTAAATGAAAAACATATTAAAATTCTATATCCTTAACTATGTAATATCAAATACCTAAGAAGTGTTAGAAATTTTTTGTTACGTTCAAAATACATTTTTATTAAGCTATTAAATAATGTGATTTTCAGTTAACGTAGACTACTTTCACTTTTAAGATGGTCAACCATTTTACCATCAGAAGTTCTCCTCAAATCACTTTTAAATTAAACCACATAAACTAACCAGCTAAAGCTTCTGCCATCTTCCCCGCTTTCTGTCAATCTTTCTAGTTGTCTCCTTCCTAGTTTCTCTTCTACACCTTGTGGAATTTCTCTCGCTTGTTGTTTTTCTAGATCTTGCAGAATCTACAAAAAAAACGCACGGAACGAAGGGGTCGCTACAGCTCGGACAGTCAGAAAGGCGAGGCTAAGTTCAGCAAAAGCAATCTGATATTTAAGGTAGGGTAACCTCTTGGTTGGCGCTCCCTGCTTGCATGGCATGATCACACGGACGCGACTTCGCTCGCTTTTCCCGCATTTTTGTCGCTTCTAGTCTGCTTTAGTGGTCGTACGTAGTTTGTCTGCTAGGTAGTTACTTACAGGTCAACGAGTCTCACGCCGCTTCTTCGATTCATTTGCCGCCCACTGCAGAATAGGTTGTATTCGCTTGTAGTTTGACTCGCAAGGTGTTTGGGAAGTAAGTTGGTTGGATCAAATGTTTAAGTTTTTGGGAAACGATTTTGGTTAAAACTGGTTTTGATAGTACTTTGTGCGATTTAATAACCTTCCTTAGATTTTAGGTATAAAATTTTATTTTTGAGAACCCACCCAGAGTTGTCAAAATAAAATTTTTTTGCAACAAGGCTGATAAAAAGTTCATAACATGTTTACAAATAAATCAGGTTACGTAATACAATTTTACATGTGAAATCAAATTACATGTATTTATTCTTACACATAGGAAACTGTAAATGTTTTTTTCCTATTTTTTGTATTAACTTACCTTTACTTTAGGATATTTTTTCATATCTTCAATCCTTCTTAGATTTGAGGTGTAAACCTTTAAATTACAGATCTAACCTCATAAAATCGGCTTTAAAACATTTTAGCTAGAAGGATGCTAACAGTTTGTAAAATTTGTTGGCAAGGCTTGTATACTGTACTGGTTAAGCAAGAAATGTTAGACAATACAAGTTAGGTTTCAAATGTTGATTACTATAATTTTAGTTTGTGTTTATGAGACAGCTATTCATGTTTTAAAGTGACTATCCATCTAGAATAAAATATGAGTCCCTAAGGTGAGGAGAAGTGTTTTAATATCAAATATCTTTTCTACCTAGTCGTATAAAATTATGATTTTCAATTTATTTAGCATACCAACACTAATCTAATTAAAACATCTGAATTAAAACAAAAAATAATTTATAAATAAAAATACTTTTTAAAAATAAACGCACTAAAAAGTATAAAATGGTTTATAAAATGTTGAGAGAATAAATACTTGTAAGATTTAAAACGAAAAACGTGGGGCGCATGCTGATTTACAATTAACTTCACCTATAGAACTATTATGATCTATTGCATTCTTTTAAAATGTAAACATGGAAAATTTGGAAGCCCAAGGGGTGTAGCCCAAGGGAAATATGAAAATTAAATTATATAATATTGCATTGTCATCCATTTGTGAGCTATGTTTCAAGTTTTAAGTCTCTAGCTCATCGGAAACTTCGTTTAAAATTGATATCAAAATTTGTAGGAAAGCGAGCTAATAAAAACAAGCCCTTGGGGCGTAGTCCAAGGGAAATATGAAAATTAAATGATATAATATTGCATTGTCATCCATTTATGAGCTATGTTTCAAATTTCAAGTCTCTAGCTCATCGGGAAGTATCAAAATTTGCAAGAAAGCGATTTAATAAAAACAAGCCCATGGGGCGTAGCTCAAGGGAAATATGAAAATTAAATGATATAACATTGCATTGTCTTCCATTTGTGAGCTATGTTTCAAGTTTCAAGTCTCTAGCTCATCGGGAATTTAGTATAAAATTGTTTTTCAAAATTTGTACCGGACAAGAAAGCGAGCTAATAAAAACGTTTTAAAAACAAATTATGATTAAAACATTTTCCCTATGAAAAGTTATATTTTTTAGATGTCTTAAATACTCTAATTATTTTTGAATGTATGATCATTTATAGTAGTGTAGATTTTGAACAGTACAACAAACAAATGCCAAGAAACTATTTTCCTTTGGACATCAGTAGAATAACATGTACATGTTACAATAAAATAAAATATTACGAGTACATAAGTGTGTAAGCTTTTTGTAGATTATGATTTAGTATAATGATTTTAGTGGTACAAAAAGATAGTTTAGTATTTAAAATAAAAATTAAACCTTAGAGATGTAAGTTTATGTACTTTAAGTAGTTGATCAGTAAAAGAAAAATCAGACATTTCATATTGTGTAACTTAGTGATTAAATTAGCTTACCTAAAATTTTGGTGATACCAATAACAAAAACAGTTTAAAACCAAGCATTAGATTTTTTTGCTTTCAATAAGGCTTAATAAACCTAAGAGTCTATCTTAGGAGACTCTGCCAATGGGCCATTAAAAATGCAAAAGCAACCTATTGCTGAAAAAAAATCTATTGTATGGTTTTCCTATAGATAGACAGATAATTCAAACTTTATTTGGTAAATAGCTTATTGTGTGAAAGTAGGTCAAATCAAACAAAATAATTACATTTTAATGTTAAGTAAGTCCCTCAACATGGCACAACAATTTTTTTTTTTTTTCAGAAACATCCTAAAACTTGTGTTTTGAGTAGAGTTTTTTTACATCTGTTGGCGTATGTTAGTTTTGGGTTTGAGATTTCAATTTTTCGGACAAACAAGTTAAATAAAAGTTTACATATGATAGAAAACGTCTTTAAAGTAGACTCCCTCTTGGACTCCTCCGGACCAAGGCCAGTCCGGAACGGTTTTTCCGTTTTAACCGACGTCCCCAAAAACTCGCTAAATACAGACCGTTTAGATGCATACTTCATACAGTATTTGAATTCAATTTGGGAGAGCATTGTATTTAAACAAGTGATCACTGGTCTCAAATCTTTCCTACGAGAACAGTCGTTTCAGTACCGCCCACTTCCTGCCGATCTAGTCCGTTGAAACCGTTGTGCTAATAAAAATTGCCCGGTTAAAGAGATGTCATTTTCGGAGATGTCATTTTCGCCGAGTGTAGTCCAGTTAAAAGGTGTCTGGATAAGATGGAGTCTACTGTATACAAATAAAAAAATATCTTTTGGTCTAAACCAAACCAAACCGTATTACGACACAACAAAATAGGGTAAATTGATTTGAGATATTCTACAATTAAATCAGAATTCTTCATGTACAACTGATTCATTGATTGTGTTGTAGCATTGACTATATAAGGTATATATAGTCAATGGTTGTAGTAAATTTACTTTAGTTTGATGGAACGAATTTAAAAAATGATTCACTAAACTGCAGCTTGATATTATCTATGATATTAATTGATGAATCTAAAATTACTGATCCTGATGATATTTAGCTCTAATGTTGGTAAAATTAAGTAAACATTTCCTTTCTTATTTTGTCCAGTTTTCTTGCTGTTGTATTTATCTATATAGATAAGTTAATCAAAATATAAAAATAATATAAATATCCAGAAATATACTATATTTTTTCTTTCAAGCAACAAGAAAGGAAACTGATTAGATTACCTCTGTGTATTAATTTGATCAAACATTTCTCTATAAGTGACCCATTTAGTATTGGATAGTTGTTGATAAATATAATTGAGTTTAATTAATATCTTAAAATGTATTCTTTTATTCTAGAAAAAATTACGAGTTTCCTAAATTTCCATTTTAATGGCTTTAGCAGTGTATACCATTAATTTAACATCTTTTTATGTTATAACCTTGAGAGGTTTGCAAATGAATTAAAACTTTTCGGTTATCAAGAGGATGTAGTTCAAAAATTTGAGAAAATATTGGGTTAAAACTTTCTATTTTGTTTCAGTAGTATGAGTTTATTTCTATTATTCACCCATAAAGTTGCGGGAGTTTGAAAAACACCTTTTTACTTTAAACATCCATCCATGACATTTTCCTCTATAAATCCAGGAACCTCAATTTCTTTCATCTAATTCAAACTTGATCTAATTACGGATACACTTACAAATTTCATTTCTACAGGTTTTCATGCATGGATCAGTTTAAGCTTTGCGGAGCACCAACTCTAGGGTAGAGCTTGCATGATTGTTCGGTAGCTTTTTCGCTCACGCTTCAGCCAATCAAGAGGCTACCCCAGTCTATGTGCCCTGAAATTTTTTATTTGGTTCGTTGATCTTAAACATCTCGTCTTTTATCATGAAACATCCAAAATGAGATGCTATAAAAAGGAGTTAAAATGTTGATTTGTCTTATTGGCTTTAGTTCTGATCTAACTCTCCGTAATGATTTAATTTCACATTTCGTTGTTCAAGGCCAAGAAGATGCTTGTTCAGCCCTTGGAGATGCGAGATAATACATATAGTTAGCTGCTTCAGATAAGTCCGTAGAATAAATAAAATGGCTCTCGATTGTTTGAAATGGAAAGATTGATAGATTATGTTAAGTTCACAACCTACATATACTTCACTAAAATACAATCTTGATGCTTGAAATCAACAGATTATGTTAGGTTGACAACCTATACTTCACTAACATACAATCTTGATGCTAGAAATCAACAGATTTTGTTTAGTTGACAACCTATACTTCACTAACATACAATCTTGATGCTAGAAATCAACAGATTTTGTTTAGTTGACAACCTATACTTCACTAACATACAATCTTGATGCTAGAAATCGACAGATTGTGTTTAGTTGACAACCTATACTTCACTAACATACAATCTTGATGCTAGAAATCGACAGATTGTGTTTAGTTGACAACCTATACTTCACTAACATACAATATTGATGCTAGAAATCGACAGATTGTGTTTCGTTGACAACTTATACTTCACTAACATACAATCTTGATGCTAGAAATCAACAGATTTTGTTTAGTTGACAACCTATACTTCACTAACATACAATCTTGATGCTAGAAATCAACAGATTGTGTTTCGTTGACAACCTATACTTCACTAACATACAATCTTGATGTCTGAAAAGCATCGTCAGACCAGTTCTTAAAACAGTGTCTATAGCTAGAATGGAAGACTTGAGGCCAATATCACTAGTCCCAGCAATATCAACAATCTTGGAAAAGATAGTTACTAATCAGCTAACGGATTTTATTAATGAGAATCATATATTACCTAAATTGCAGTCAGGGTTCAGAAAGAACCATAGCACCTGTACTGCATTGACAAATCTCTTTAGTGATATGATAGATGCCAAAGATAAAGGGAGATACAGTTCACTGGTTATGCTTGACT